GAAAAAACGAAGAATTGCGAACGAAAGTTATAAACAGGAATATCTCTGTAGAAGAATTTGCGAGAATGAGTGCCGAGGTAACATGAGAAATATTGTACACCGATTACTTTTGTTCCGTACATTACAAACCCCATTGTCTTCATAGGAAATGGCATCACCTAAACGTCGTCGCACCAATGAACTATTGCGTAAACATGCTCTTGACAAGACTGTTGTGACGTCAGAGTCAAATCCTATCAAAGCAACTGAGCCCGGTGTGTAGCACGAAAATGGCGGACCTCCACAAATAATGCAATAAGACTAAGTTGGCTATTTGCAATTAGACGAGCTTGCAATGGTTTGACGTCATAGGAATCGGCGGGGCGTAGGCTATATATATATTAGGTGTGATCTACTAAATTATAAGTGTTTTTTTTTTCAGAAAAAGAAGACGCAACAGAACAGAATTCCAATAAACTATTAACTTGTCATTTGTTTGAAAAGTTGACAAAAAAATACTACGTAAACGGACAAATGATTATATAAAGCAAAAGACTTGGTCAAATTGAAAAAGTCGATTGTGTCAGTATTCGTCAGTCAAGACAATATGACACTATCGAAATTATGGCTTATATAATATATATGTATATGTATAGAGAGAGAGCATCTGCAATAAAATCAGACACAATGAATTTACTGTTATTATCATAATTATCTTGAAGGAATTCATCAAATTTGTGATATTCGACTTGAATTGCTTTTTCTTTCTCTGCACAATATCGGGGTGTTCTAAAAATAAGACATAATTAATCGACTGCGCAATTGATCAATGTACGCGGCTATAATTTAACTTTGATTGCTGTCGAATTTCCGTTTTTAGATTGGAGCGCGCATATTTATAGATTTATCTTGATTGAATAAATGTCGCAACAGTTGATGACATACGTGTATTATTCCCTAATTTCGACAAAATATTGCCGATTATAAGGGTACGCGTTAGTACCAATAATAACTATCCCGATTGTAGCAGCTGCCGTTGGCAACAGAAACAATATTTAGACTGAGAAACGATAGATTAGTACGCGCTGTTAAAAAAAAGTTTCAGCTAGAACCGACGTGATTCGCAGCGTCGATTCCTTAATTAGAGGCAAAACCCGCTTTCCAAATGACGTTAATGCCATTAATGCGAAACTGCCATAAACAACACACGTGCTCATGATTTGAATTCTACCGTACCGCACTGGTTCTAGTACCCGGGGGGTACTTTACCAGAACACATACTATTCTGGTTTAGTACCTCGGGGCCACTGTATCACAGAGGAAACGTGTCGTGGGGCCATGACAAAAAATAAGAGTGACGGAAGCGAAGATCATGCAATCATGGAGGTATGTGATTACTCAAATGGTACATGTGATAAGTCAAAAATTGGAATGTTTGATAGATGGGTCTAATCAGTCTTAAGTTTTGAAATCAAAAATATTATACGTTAATACGATATATATCATGCAGAACGTAAAGAAGGTACCAGAAACGGTATCTTTTGCAAAACCAGCAAAAGATCACAGATGACGATTAACAGTCGGATGGACTGGGCATGTGTTATCTCCGGAATGTGATCGAAATGAATGATGATATGAATTGTCTCCAGGTTCTTTTCACATGAATATGTCATCATGCATAAATTTTGTCGCCATATAAATCCTGGAAATGGACGTTCCACGATTTACGTATCAAAGTTGACGATGATCACTAAAGTTTTTATGTAAGAATTAGCTTTATGATTACTATCATCGTAAAGTAAATTTACTTTTTCAATATATAGAATAGCACCGTATTGGATATGTAGCCCCCATTCTTACCTTCTTTTAATGTAATACAGAATGACCAACTTTTTTGTCAGCGAATAGTTTTTGTAAGCTATTCAAGTAGTAACCATTGACGAGATATACGAATTGTGAGATATTTTTACAAATTACCTTTTTCTTACATAATCTTGCCGTCATGGCCAAAATTGTCCTAGTCTATTTGAGTTGTATTGTTGCGATATTTTTAAATTGTATCGCAGTTCTCTTTTTATACGCTATTAATACATCAGGGATGTAAATTGATCGCGCTTTTTACAGATTTGTGTCACGTTGACATCAACTGACTGATGAGTCAGAGCACTGTTTGTGCAAAATAGATAACACGCGTTCGTTGACAAGGGTTCAAGTAACGTCTCTCCCATGTGTTATTTGCATTTTTGTGTAACTGATGTTAGTGCGCTTATTATTATTATTTATTTAGAAATTATACATTGTCATGCAATTTACGTAAGCCAATGAAGTACGGGTTATGAATATAAATCCATGGCATTTATCATGCTTTAGCTAAAATAAGATCCCCCGCTGTCATTTCACATTGACTGCGCCGATATTAGGATGCCAAGGATACTTGGCGAAAGTTAGTATTGTTGGTGAAAAGAAACGCCAGTCACAGTGTAATGGCTAGTTCAGTATCATGAACAGCGACAATACAATAAATGGGATAGATTACCCTAAGCAAAGTGCTGTGAATAAAAGCTCCTCGCGATATACCCTAAGTAAAGTGGAGAAATTCGGTGTGTGGCTCAGTCATTCTGGGTTGGTATTACCAAAATAGGCTATGGCTGATCAAAATGTGATTCGCCAGCTCTGGACCGCGCACCGGTTATTGTGGCGCAACTTGAAAAGCGTACCGGTTTTCAAATGTTCCGACTTATTTTCTTACGAACACTTTTGTATCATTTTTATTTTACTCACAACCATAATTTTTTATGGCCTCTTCCACCGAAGGAAAACATGGAAGCAAGAACTTTGGAAAAGGATTTGGGCACGACGTTCGAAGGGGTATAGTCAGAATTGATCCAAGACTGCATGACGATCTGAAAAATGTAGTAGTATGGCTGAAGGAAGAGAAAGACGTAATTTCTGGCTTGCATTCTGTTATTTCGGGAAAGAAAGAGGGTACGAATATTAGGAGAATATGAATTGCTAGAAAGAAGACATTTGTAGCAATTGAATTCACATGTCTAAAGAACGGTTGATAAATGGATCCTTTTTTTATAGCAAGCAAGTCTTTTCACATATGGGGAAAGAATGAAGACGACGATATTGCTGTACGTAAATTCTTCTGATTTTTATTTCGTTTACGTAGCCTGATCATTCTCTAAAGCTTAATCATTGCTTTATTTGTTTTCTTAGGACGTTGCGGAAAAAATGTCTGAATTGATGTCAAAAGCGATAGACGTAGAAATAGTATATTGGGGTATACATTCTTTCCAGTAATATTCGCGTACAAAAGCCTCTGCTTTCATCTATTCATCTATTCACGCTGTTCGTTTCCGATTAGAAAAGTACAATAGATACCGTGACCTTGTAAAACAAATACGAGATGCTGAACATCGCTTGGTCGGGCCGAAAGATAAAAAACGACGTTTAACCGATGAACTAGCTCGTCTAAGAAAAAATCAACCTCAGTCGCCAAAAATTCGCGACATCGAATTGGAATTAAGGAAAGTAACGGAAGAATATGAAGCAACGAAAATAGATGTTGGGAACGTAAAAAGACAGCGACTAAGAGAGGCGCTGACATTACAGACTAATGCCATGTTTGAGACAGCAGAAAAGATTGCGATAATTGCAGGTTTTTCATGGTATTTGGTTGAATTGATTGATAAGGACATTCTTAATATTGGAGAAACGAGAAGACCGTATAATGGTGAGAGGGATTAACGATATTGAGCATGTTGCTATTTTTTAGTGAATTGATCAATCTTGCGGCATTCCTCATATTCTAATATACTATTTGATATCCTTCTAATTGTCTGCTATAGGTGCGGCGACCAGCTCTCAGGTAGTCAAAGACTGCCAAGTTCACTTACACCGCTGGCAGCCCTGCTCAACAGACATAAACATTATTGTCTCTAGTCTTACAAACACGACTCTGTCTGAAGCGGCTCAGCAAAAACAAGAGTACGAACTTAGAATAGCTCAACTCAATTCCCAACTTACGTCTCAACGCCAATCATATGAAGCACAAATCCAAGATCTTACCACTCATTTAGAAGAAAACCACCGTAATCTTTCGTCCAAAATTGAAGAGTTGTCAGGTACTTTACGTCATCAGAAAGAAGGTTCTCAAGTGAGATTGGACGATTTGTCAGCAGCGTTGAAAAATCAGAGGATTGAATATGAAGCAAAAATACAAGACATGCATCGTGCACTAGTGGAACAAAAGGCAGGGTTGGACGTTCACGTGAATGAGTTGAATGCTTCATTACTTGCGGAGAGGCAGAAGAATGCTGTTCAAGGAAGGGACTATCATTCTGCTATGGCGCAAAAACACGAGTATGAAGTACAGCTGAGAGAGAAGGATGGAATTATTTTATCGTTGCAACGTGATATGAATGCCGTTGCGGTAGAAAAGAACAGATTATCGCAGTTGGTGCGAGACATGGAAAATATGATACGAGCCCAGGGTGGCATACCCGAGAGCAACAAGTTAAATATTGAAAGCAATTTGGAACAAATTAGAAATCAACTCGCGTCTATAAACATTACACCGACCTATGGGGGCGTGCCAGGTGCAGCTCCAGTTGGTGCAAATAGAATAACACCCACACCACCAATTCCCCCAGTACATGGTGGTGGCGTCGGAAGACCATTGCCTCACAATCAACACAATCAACACAATCAACACAATCAACCATATGCTAGGCCGCCGCCACCAGGCCCGACGGTTTTATCGCCAAACGCGCCATTGACGACATCACCAGTGCAAGATCCGTTTTTGAACGGGCGTTCGCCATCACCCGTCCAGAATCTACCACCTCCTGTTGAAAACCGTCCGGGACAACAAGGTCCTCCTCCAGCGAACTATTATCAGCAATTCCGACCGCCACCGTACTCTAATCAAAACTACTATCAAGGATCTGGTCAACCCGCACGACCTCCAGGATTTGTCGGCGGCTTTTTCATCCCGCCTGATGGTGTCGGTCCTCCACGTCCGCCTAAAGTTGGTATTGCGAATGATGAGAAAAAAAAGTGAGCGGATGGATATTGCTGTTGGTGATGATGGATTTTTTTCCCCCTCAACTTTAATTGTATATTTTTCTTTCTTTGTTAATCATGTATCATAAAGTGGTTGAACATTTATCGTCAATGCTGTAGGGTACTGTTTGATCTATAAAACATTGACAAAATTGTGACAAATTTGAATCGGTTTTTCTCTTTCCATTAGAATTATCATTTTCATTCCAACGAAAAGAAATCTGCACGTATAAATCGCGTTCTTTCAGTGTTCTAGTTTAACATCATTATTCAAAATCCCTTAATAAAATCATAAATAGTCAGAGAGTTAGAAGAAGGAATCGCTAACTTATGAAATGAACCAAAGTGAACATGGGACGCTATTATTTCGGTTTTCGGATATAATACTATTAGTCATGTATAAGAGGCGCAACTTTTTCATTAATTTAATAATAAACGAGTAGTTCTTTATACTCAGAATGCGCTATTCGATTCTCTGGTAAATATTGGTATATTGATTAGTCCCTTAAGGTCGCGATAAGCCATTATGGTGTAGGTAAAACCGTGACTATTACTGTAGAGGTTGTCAAAATTAAACTTTTCATGCAGTGGCACGTCTCTGCATAATGTAGCCCCACATCTGAGAACGTGCCGAATAAATCCAACATGACTCACATGACTCAAATCCTATGAGTTACCTACGTTCATCGTTGCGCGGTGTAAAGATACCCGGATATGTACAGCATGCGCGCTACTGCTTTGTCTCGCAATATCGTGGAGCTCACAGCTTCAACTCGGGCTCACAATTAGCTTCCGTAAACGATACGCAAGAACAACCTCCAATAGGTGGAAAATGGGCTCGACCACCCAATCTTAATACCAGGAAGAAACCTCGCATTGATCTCTTAGCCTCGGATGATCCGGTTCGCAATGCTCAGAGAATAGAAATACTTGCAGAAGGAAATTTGTTAGAAGACGCTATAAAATTTGTGAAAGACACTCCACCGAGTAAACTATCTGTACCTGTTTGGAATACTTTAATAAAAGAATTATGTAAGAGAAAAAGAATAAGGAAAGCGTATAAAACGTATATCGAGGTATAAGTTTGGATAATCGCTGGTTATGGTTGTGCCCACGAGTATCTGTTACTGTCGTTAGCACTAACATTATGTATGATACCACTTGACGACGTCTCGTCTTTTAATCTAATAGATGAAACGCCGTGGATTCCAACCTAATGTGTACACATTTACGACATTATTAAATGGGATGGCTGAGGGTAATATCACGGACAATAGCATCAACAATGCAAAGGCTCTTGTAGAGTCAATGGATTTATCCAGCGAAATAAAGGTTAACCCGATCCATGGCAACGCATTACTCAAAGTATGCTCGCGTGCAGATGACTTGCAATCTCTCAAACAAGCTTATGACACATTCTTTCAACGAGGAAGACTAGTTCCTAATAACGAGACATATACAACCATAATTAATTCATGCGCGCGTCATGAGCGTGAGGGGTTCGAATTTGCTTGGAAACTCTGGGAAGAGATCTTGGATGTGGTTGCCGAGCAAAAAAACACTACAAACGATGGATACAAGTATTCAACGTCAAGATACGATAGTAATTATAACAAAAGTGAACTCGTTGTTGATGACTTGTTAGTATGTGCTATGATCCACGCGTGCAAGAACGCTGATGAGACTGAGAAAGGTCTACGAATTGTCCAACAAGCTTATGGGATTGGAAATAATTCAGTTGAGCAGATATTTCATCTTCAAATGTCACCGAAATCCCTTGATGGTGCGCTCGGTCTGTGTATTCGCAGTAGAGCACATCAACTAGGCGTAGAAATATTTGACAAGGCTATTACCAAATTTCCAGAAATGAAAATCGATATCTACAATTTCAACAGTCTGATGAAGATTTATATCGAAGCGAACAAGTGTCGAAATGCAATAGATGTGATGTCAACCATTCGTGCACGAAATTTGGTTCCCGTTCGTGCTACTTATGACTTGGCACTAACTGCTTGTAGGATTCTTGATGAATGGGGTACTGGGAAAAAGTTTTTCGAGGAATTAAGAGCACAGCAGATAGCGCCGGATGAGCATATGTTAAATATGATTCTTGGCTTGGCACTTGGCAATAAACTTGGAGACGCAAGAAGGGTCTTTTGGTTGTTAGAGCAGTTTGAAGTGTTATTTAATGAAACAGAACCTGAGCTGAAGAATGTCAACTTTGTAAAGTCTCTTTTAAAGGCTTACGAGGTTGCATCAGAACATAGTAGGAAAGCGCAGGAATTCGAAAGATGGAATAAGAGAAGGATTTATCTTAAAAAACATCTGCAACAATTTTTACCTGAGACAAGTGCAGAGCATGATGCTCGTAAGCGTCATTCAAACAAAGAGTGGCGATATAATAATAAAGTCTCTGAAAAATTTCGGTAAACATTAAGCATTGGATTCTCAAAATTATAAATGACAAAATTCTACAAGTATCTTTTAGTATTGTAATTAGGCTTACACTCAGCTTCTTTGTCAATCATACAAATCCTATCGTACTTTGAAAGGTATCTGTTTGTACACTTAATGCTAGCCTTTGCATCTCGTGAAACAAATTGGGCATTGTTTTGCAACAAATTCAGTTCTGCAGAGTTTGGAAATTGTGTTCATAATATTGTGGAATGTGAGGGTGCTACTACCTTTCGCGTAGGACCAGGATCTTTATTCCAATAGTTGTAGATGAATGCTTCTATTCAAAATTAATTACGCGTTTTTATTTTGAGGTAATTTGACCGCGTTTACTACCGCTGTCATATACGAGTCTATAGTGTTATTATGTCACGCGTACAAGTAATATGGGACTTCAGCTGATACTGCGTCCGATCATGATAACAACCCGCGTATCTCGTAAAGAAAATTACAGTCTACATTATCTGAGACGAATACTTTCAAACGTCTAACGGTAGTGGTTGTTGATGATAAGGAAACTCGCATTTCGGATAAAGCAAAGTTTATTTGTACACGTCGTTACATAATAAAGTTTACAAAATGAAGTTTAATGATTATCTACGTTCAGTAGTACAACATATCTTGTTTTGAATATAGTGTATAAAAAGAGAAAAGGAAATGTTAACGAAACTTCCTCTTTATATTCGCGCAAACACTCGCCCAACAAAAACTTAAATTTATGGACACATTCTAACAGGTATGTACGCATAAGTAGATGAATTGTTAACGGATATCCAGAGTATATTTATGCACTCAAAACACATTCTCAATAGAACTTAGTATGCAACATTATGAGCAGACAACGACCATCGATACCCGATTTCGCACCAGAGAAATACAAGAAACTTACCAAGATGCTGCATCCAGATATCTAAGCGCTTGTTAAAGAGGCGGAAAAGAACAATTTTGTCAGAAACGCATGGAATACTATTATAACGATGTAAAAACCCTAACCCTAACCCTAACCGAAAAACCAAAGGTGCTGAACTCCCCAACACAACAGCTTAGAGAACCT